ATGAGGTTTCAAATTATGATAATCCTGGACTGACCTGACACTGTAACACTGGCAGTTTTGCCCACGTTTATCGTCTAATCCTAGTCTCAGAATCACCCCACTGAGCTTTTCAAAAACATGTATGTTTAAGCCTCACCAGTGAAATTTCTATTTAGAAGTATAGGGTAAGGACCAGGAATACAGATGGGGAAAAGAATACACTGGTGATTCTCATGGTCACCCTCAGTTAATAATTACTGACTTAGATCATTATTGAAAGCAACCCAAGTGCCCATCAATCCATGAGTGGATTAATAAAATATGGTATATGTATACCATGGAGTACTCTTCAGCTTTAAGGAACAATGGTGATACAGCACCTCTTGTATACTCCTGGATAGAGCTGGAACGCATTCTACTAAGTGAAGTAACCCAAGAATGGAAAAACAAGCACCACGTGTACTCACCAGCAAATTGATACTAACTGATCAACACTTACATGTACATTTAGTAGTAACATTCATCAGGTGTCAGGCAGGTGGGAGGGGGAGGAGGGGATGGGTATATTCACACCTAATCGGTGCGGTGTGCGCTGTCCAGGGGATGGACACGCTTGAAGTTCTGACTCAGGTGGGGCAAAAGCAATATATGTAACCTAAACATTTGTACCCCTGTAATATGCTGAAATAAAAAAATGATAAAAATCATCCATAGGAGATGAAGATGATGACCAAGAATCAGAAAGGCTAACAAGTTTGATTCTTGCTGAAACCATCCGAGCAATAAAATGTTTGTGTTATTTCTGAATTCCATCACTCTGTGAAACTAAATCTCAAAATGGAAGAGGTAACTTTATAGTGTTAAATGCCTGCATCTGAAAGATAGAAAGATCACAAATTAACAACCAACTTCAAGGAACTAGAAAAACAAGAACAAAGCAAACCCAAAGCTAGCAGAAGAAAAGAAATAACAAAGATCAGAGCAGAACTAAACAAAATTGAGACCAAAAAAAAAAAAAATACAAAGGATCAATGAAACAGAAAGTTGGTTCTTTGAAAAGATAAACAAAATTGACAGACTGCTAGCTAGATTAACCAAAAAAAGAAGATTCAAATAAGCTCAATCAAATGAAAAAGGAGACATTACAACTGATATCACAGAAATATAAAAGATCATCTGAGACTACTGTGAACTTTTCTATACCCACAAACTAGAAAACCTATAGGAAATGAATAAGTTCCTGGAAACATACAACTTCCCAAGCTTGAATCAGGAAGAAAGAGGAATCCTGAACAGACCAATAATGAATAGTTGAGATTGAATCAGTAAAAAAAATTTCACAACAACAAAGAAACCCAGGATCAGACTGATTCACAGGTAAATTCTATCAGACATACAAAGAAGAACTGGTACCAGTTCTACTGACACTGTTTCAGAAGATCAAGAAGGAGGGAATTCTGCTTAACTCATTTTACAAAGCTAGTATTACCCTGGTACCAAAGCCAGGAAAGGATGCAACAACAACAACAAAAAAGAAAACTACAGACCAATATCTCTCATGAACATGGATGCAGAAATCCTAAAACAAACTAGCAAATCAAATTCAATAGCACATCAAAAATAATACACCACAATCGAGTGGGTTTTATTCCAGGGATGCAAGGATGGTTCAGCACACTCAAATCAATAAATATGATTCACCATATAAACAATTAAAAACAAAAACCGTATGATTATCTCAATGGATGTAGAAAAAACTTTCTATAAAATTCAGCATCCCTTCATGATAAAAATCCTCAACAAACTAGGCATAGAAAGAACATACCTCAAAATAATAGAAGCCATATATGACAAACTCAAAACCAACATCGTATTGAATGGGAAGAAGTTGAAAGCATTTCCGCTAAGAACTGGAATGAGACAAGGATGCCCACTTTCACCACTTCTGTTCAACATAGTACTAGAAGTCCTCATCAGAGCAATCAGGCAAGAAAAATAAATAAAGGGCATACAAATTGGAAAAAAGGAAGTCAAGTTATCTCTGTTTGCTGATGGTGTAATCTTATACCTAGAAAACCCTAAAGACTCCTCTAGAATGCTCTTAGATTTGATAAATGAATTCAGTAAAGCCTTAAGTTACAGAATCAACATACAAAAATCAGTAGCATTTCTATATACCAATAACAACCAAACTGAGAACCAAATCAAAAACTCAATCCCATTTATAATAGCTGCAAAAAGAAAAAGAAAAACCAAGGAATATATTTAACCAAGGAGGTGAAAGATCTCTACAAGGAGAACTACAATTCACTGATGAAAGAAATCATAGATGACACAAATAGAAAAACATCTCATGTTCATGGATTAGAAGAATCAATATTGTGAAAATGACCATACTGCCCAGAGCAATCTACAGATTCAATGCAATTCCTATCAAAATAGCAATGACATTTTTCACAGAATTAGAAAAAACAATCCTAAAATTCATATGGAAACAAAAAAAAGAGCCTGAATAGCCAGAGCAATCCTAAGCAAAAATGAACAAAGCTGGGAGGTGTCACATTACCTGACTTCAAATTATACTGCAAGGCTATAGTAACCAAAACAACATGGTACTGGTATAAAAACAGACACATCAAGCAATGGAATAGAATAGAGAACCCAGAAATAAAGCCATATACCTACAACCATCTGATCTAAATAAAGCAGACAAAAACATGCTGGGAAAAGGACATCCTTTCAATAAATAGTGTTGGAAAAATTGAATAGCCACACATGGAAGGATGAAACTGGATCCATATCTCTTACCATATACAAAAATTAACTCAAAATAGATTAAAGACTTATATTTAAGACCTGAAACTATAGAAAACCTAGTAAAAACTCTTCCGGACATTGGCCTATACAAAGAATTTATGACTAAGACCCCAAAAGCAAATGCAACCAGAATAAAAATAAACAAATGGGACTTAATTAAACTAAAAATCTTATGCACAGCAAAAGAAATAATCAGCAGAGTAAATAGACAATCAATAGAATGGGATAGAATATTCACAAATTATGCAATTGACAAAGGACTAATATCCAGAATCTACAAGGAGTGCAAACAACTGAACAAGAAAAAAACGACCCTGTTAAAAAGTGGGCAAAGAACATGAACAGACATTTTTCAAAAGAAGACATATAAATGGCTAACAAACATATGAAAAACTGGACATCACTAATCATCAGAGAAATGTAAATTAAAACCACAGCGAGTTACCATCTTATTCCAGTCAGAATAGCCATTATTAAAAAGTCTAAAAATAA